AGGCCTTTCGAAGCTTTCTGTCTCTCCTTCTCCAACCCCGCTCTATCGAGCGTTTTTCGCGGCTGGTGAGCATCTGCTGCATCGCAAATTCCGCGCGGGTCGCGTCGGAGCCAGCCCGCCGCTGTCGCTTGAACTGCCGTTCCTGTGGTCGGCCGATGATCCCGAGGCTGTTGAGCGATTTTCCTGCATGAGCGGCGGTTGGGAGTTTGAAGCACGAGGCAATGCGGCACATTGTTATTCGTTGTTTTGCACTACAGCAGTACTTGCAGCAAGTACTTTAGAGTTGGAGATCACCCAAGTAGTACATGATGTGCAGAGGTGCAACAACCGGTCAACCTTTCGCGAAAGTGTGACGACATCGGCGCATTTTCATGCAGAGTTTTACTTTCAGACCGAAGTACGACACATGATAACACACCCCCTGGGTCGATTTCCACAGCTCGATTACTCCACGACGAAGAGGATGCATGAACGACACGATACGTTTCCGGAGAGGTCTCGACAAGACGGCTTCAACACCGCCGTTTTCGGCGCTGCGACTCGTTCTGCTGGTGATGAATCGAGCTTTCAAAATCCGTCCAGGGGCGTGTGTTATCTTGTGTCATATACGGCAGCACATGGTTGCAGCAAACACATCGGGGTGTACAGGTACCATATTGTAGCAAAACACGTTGTGCGTACTGCTGTAGGCGTCTCTAGTACCAGAACAACAGACGAGTAATGAAGGCAACTCATGTGGACGTGGATATCACGTTGGGCGATTACACTTGTGCGTACGAAGCATGCCGTCGAAAATTCAAAAATCTTTTTTTTTTTATATACGGTGACACCACTCCCGTGTGCCCGCACATCAGCCGCACATACTCCGCACATATGCATACCAAACTGAAAACACGTATGTAAACTGATGGAGACTGTATATCCTACAACTAACAGGGTGCCACACACAAAACGCCCGACTAACCAACAGTACCCAACACCTCTCGTCTGCACCTTCCCAACAAAACATATATGAGACACACAAGACAGCTACCAAACTGATTTGTTGAGCCTGTTACCCGCAGGGGAGATGTCCCTATATGCTGTCTGGGAAATCGTAGACATACAGGTACTTTTCTCTGACGCTATTGTTCCATTGTTAATCTGTCTATGACTCTTTTCTATGATAGAGATGGACTCGTTGTGTCATATTAAGAAAAATAAAAAAAATCCCGGCTGACGACCACATCTCACAAAAAATGTGGTCGTGTACAAATCAACATACGCCGCCATCTCTTTTGTAAGAGTGCCACCTAGTTCAAGTCCCTAAAAAAACATGCTCGACGTAGTCCAGCCTGCGGCATGACTGGCCGCGTGCAGTAGGTACAGCAGCAGTCGCTGGCACGGTGTCACGTGTGCTGCCGTTGCTCCGA